TTACCGCCTTTAACATTTTTACTACGGAAGCTATAAGATATAGACGTCCGATCGGAAGCTCTTTCACCCTGATCAAGGTATGCGTAAATAAATAAGACTTGGAAAAATTCATGTCAATAGCTTATACACTGCGCGAAATATTCTGAAAAACATCAAATATGGACCGATTTCACCCTATTGTTTCTATTGGAGCTATAGGATATAGACGTTCGATCGGGGCGTTTTCAAACTTGATCTGCGTACACATGTTTTAGGACGACTTTGAAAGTTTCAGATCGCTAGCTTTTAAACTGAGCTCACAAACGGTATTGAAACAGACGGACAGACGGACGGAAGGACAGACGGACATGGCTATATCGACTCCCCTATTGACCCTGATCAAGAATATATATACTTAATGGGGTCGGAAACGTCTCCTTCACTGCGTTACAAACTTCTGACCAAAATTATAATACCCTCTGCAAGGGTATAAAAATCTGAAATTTCTTTGTAATAACGTGGAAAAAAAGTTGTATTTCTGCCACGAAAATATAATAATTTTTCGTCAACATTACGATAATGATATTCATGCAATAAATAATACAGAAAAAATTGAATTTTTCTATATCGCCCACAATTTTCTTGTAAAGTTAGCATGTCCCTTAATTTAATGCCACAAAGTTAATTGCGGCATATGTTCAAGGACCCATCCGAGACAATATGCCCCGTAGAGCAATTCAATGGCCGCAGAAGCCACAGAAGCACGCTGACATATTGCACAAAGGCCGCCGTCCAAATGGGTTACTTATCGCACTGAAAGCGACCGCCGCTGGCAAGGACGAGCAGGACTTTACTTATCGGAGCCTTATCTGTCCGCTGCCGGTGCTCAGCAAACCGCGAAATCGAATCCATAGATCAAGCGAACGAGTGAAAAAATAAAACTGATTCAACTCGCGCTAATAAATGAAAGGCAGCCCAAATGTTTGCAATTGCTTTGACATGTTTGACAACAATGGCGAGCGGAATTCGACTGCGGGAGGGGGGTGACTTAAGCCGGCGACAAATGCGATTGCCTATAGAAATTGAAAAACCCAACCCGTGCGCTGGGTGCCGCAACCCTTAGCTCGAGTCCTGCGAGGTCCTGCTCTGGGCATTTGCATTGATTTCAATTAATTTGCTTGTTGTGTCATCTCCGATCCTTTGCCCGTGTTGTTCGGATTGCGTGGATGTAATTGATATTTGGTTTGGTCGGGTTTTCGGGCTGGTGCGAGTCAAGTGCTTGCAACCCCTCTGCGAGCCAAGTCCCCCCATCCCCCCGATGGAAATTATGTAAATGCCAAACATGCATTAGAGGCCAACGGACCTCTTCCTCTCACCTCTAATCCCGGTCGGAATTATTCAGGCGGATAACTTCTGCGCCGTCTTGGCTCAGCTGTGCGAATTTCCCTCGGCTGCACAGGATGCGCCGGGGTGGCGGTGACAACGGCCAACTGTCATTGACAGCTTCACTGCCATCAGCCGGGACAGGACAACAAGGTGTTTGCGGCGCTAACTCCGCTGCGCCCTCGACTTGTCTTTTCCCAAGCGGATGAGTCAGCGGCATTCACATTCGCATTCGCACTTCCCCAGTGCTTTTAGTTTTGTGAATTTCAAATGCCAGGACATCTGTTCAAGTGTTTTCGGGATCAGACCCAATCCTCAAGCGATTTTAATGCGCTTAGTTTTGAAAGTACACCTAAGTGGCAGGAACCTTAAAGAACTGAGATTCAATGATTCATTCTGACCTCACCCTTCGCCGCCTGAGCACTTAAATTGTCCCATAATTGCAGCAATTTGAATGTCCAATTGAAAACAGTTTAGGGAGTGTGACTATTATTAGTTTTCTCAATTGGGCCGTGCGTGTGAATTCCGAATGGATCCATCAGTCCGTCATGAATTGTTGATGAGATTCAATCGATGCGACTGTCCTTGGAATATATTTTGGAGGATTTCAAATATTTATACGGAATTTGGCATTTATTTATAAATTTTTAAGCATGGGTTAATCGGTTTAAAAAGTTGCGCCCTCGCAGGGCTCTCTTTTTACAAAGTTTTTCCCCAGCAACTTTCTTTGGCTTCCATTTCGGGTTCCCTGTTAATTGTTAATTGGCTGCATCGATTGTTAATTGTTCCAGTTGTTGTTGGTGGAGACCTGATTGGGGCATTGTGAGTAAAAAGTTTCGAGTGCTTTCGTCTGGCCAAAGTTTGTGGCGAAACAAAGGGAGCTTCGCTTGCGGATTGATTGGTTCGTGAATTAATTACGTGGATTGCGCAAGATTACATAATCCCCCGTGGTCGCTCATCCACAATATCCGACTGACTTGAAGTTTTCAGCCCTCACACATACACACACCAAACGTCCTTTAAGTTATGCCCCATTTCTGCCCGAAAATGTTCCGTTGATAATCCTGAAAAATAGAATCCCATTCGATACCGTCCCCAGTGCCCTCACAGGCCCATTTCCATTCTCATTTCCAGCCATTGCCCGTATATACGCTTTTTATTTATTTTGCTTTTAACAAAATTTGGCAAATTTACACTTCGCTGGCAGGGCAACAAACAACAACAGCCCATCAACAAAAGCCGGGCACCCAACTAGCAGCACATCCCCAATTCCCGCCCACTCCAGGGCACCCTGATTGCGCCATAGCCCCATAAATAAGGGCAACATTCAATGCAAATTGGACTATTTACGCAAATTTTATTGCCACACAATTTTTACACTTTTTTGTGTTTGTTGTCGCTAGTTTTCTTTCGCCACATGGAGACGCAAATGCTTTATTCCTTTGTTGTTGCCAATACTTTGTTGCCTCTGCGGAGTTGGTGCCCCAAGCGTCTACTAAATCAGGCCATTTGGACGCTGTTTCCTTGACTTTCACTGGGGCGCCAATTTCGATTCTTTGTTGTTGGCCCGTCTTCGACCCCAGCCTGAACCCTTTCTGCCTCGTCGAATTATGCGATTTTGTGTCATTATTTCCTCGCTAAACGGGGCAAATTTCCCTCTTCCCATCAGAAATCGTTCGGTGGCCGAATGTGTTTTTTATTGACATTTAGACGCGTCGCAGATTTGCCCGGCTTCAACGAGTTGATTCCAGTTGGCCTGGCCTGGTGTCATAAAGCCGCCTACGGTGGGGATTTACCAATAAATTCGTTCTAGTGAAAATTTATTGGCATTGCTTTTTAAACCGCGACGCGTGTTGCCCCCAGAATTTTTATCTCCAGGAAATTGACATTGATGTCTTGGCTACGAACGAGTTGAACTGACCTTTAAAGCAGAACATGTTTGTCATGAATACCGAGAGGGTAATTGTTCGGCTGTCGTCAATTGATTGAGGCATATGAGAGTAGGCATATGGGAAATGCCAAAGATAGGTTTGAGTTTATGGTTAAACAAGAGAAAGCTAAGTCGGGTGCTATAAATACCCTTGAGAATATGCGAATTATATGAAAATTATTCATATAAGATTCTTAATACAAAAATTGATTTGAAATTGCCAAAAATAGTGTTTTGATTTATGTTAATTTAAAAATAATAGGATAATTTGAGTTATGTGGACTGAAATAGTGCGTAGCTTAAATTCGTCGTTAAATGCAATCTCGTTAGTTTCAATCTAGTTACTGAAGACAGGACAGACAGACGGACGACGGACAGACGGACATGGTAATCAACTCGAGTGATCCTGATCAAGAATATATATACTTTGATGTCTCCTTCTGCGTTCTACTTTTACCAAAATTTATACGTTAAAGGGTTAAAAATAGAATAACTAAAAGTAAATATTAACTATTAGGGGAATCAGTGGACTAACATAAAATCACGTAGCTATATGTATAAATCTGTATTCTGTGTCCCTCAAGGTTGTTGTTTCACAAACATGACCCAAATTAAACATATATTTAGAATAACTAAAAGTAAATATTAACTATTTGGGGAATCAGTGGACTAACATAAAATATGTATCACGTAGCTTTTTGTATAAATCTGTATTCTGTGTCCCTCAAGGTTGTTGTTTCACAAACATGACCCAAATCGAACATATATTTCATGCCGAATATTCAAGAACAAATTTATATATTATATTTAAGCACGAAATTTCCATTTCTACAATTTCCATCCGAGTAATTGTACCCTGCTCTTCTCTCATCCCGCACACACATAGGCACATGCATCAAGGCCAAAATTAACAGAGTTATTAGCTCGTTATCTTCTGCACTTCATATTTACACAGTTGGCTACCAAAAGCTGAACAAATCAGTGTGAAAGCCAAGCGAACAGCCAGGGAGGAGGCCAAAACGCCTCCCCGCTCCGTTCGCAGTTTACCCCTAATTTTGTCGCTTGTGTTGCTTAAAATTCAAACAATGTGTTGATGCCTTCACACCAACCAAAACATGCATAATTAATATGCAAGGAGGGGCAACAACTACAGCAACGACAGGAACAGCCGCAAGGAGGAACTTTTCCGAGCGGGCTGCTTGTGGAAAATTGAAAGGGTTAGCATAATTTTTTTGTGGGCAGCGGGGAGGGCTTAGGCCGAGGCGACACTTTGCTTTTTGCCTGCTTCATTATCACAGCTTCCGCGTCAACATTATTTCCGGAAAACAGCAACAACAGGGCACTTGGGGAGGGGGTTGTGCTGTTGTTGTTATTGCCATGCATAATTCATATGAGAAAAGCAACAATAGGCGACAACGATGAGCGGAGCAAAAGTGAAAACCTCAAACCTTTGCGAGCTGGCAGTGAAAATGCTTTAATTGAAGCGAACACACTCGCAGACTCACAAATACTCACACACCCCGGCCTTCATTTGCATATTTCAATGCATGCAATTAGGCGCAAGGAGGGGGGGCGGGCGTAAAGCGGAGAAAGTAGCAACTGCCATGACATGAAAAAATGTTTAGCTCCCCTTTCAGCTTCTTCCGGGAACATCCATTACGAGTTTGTACTTTAACGGTGTTCTGCCCGCTCCATATTCTACTTTCAG